GATATCTATCTATCTATTATCTATCTTATCTCTTGATCAATTCCCCTGATCACATGCCTAAGGATATCTAGGTTATCAATACCCTAGATTTCCAACATCTATTGATACTGATTATTGGAAAGTTAAGAAGCTTATCAATCGGTGTACTGTCTGATTAGGCTGTAATAGAACTAAATATACTGAATATTTGGTTTACTGGCTTGGTTATGGACCTGAGGATGATACCTGGATGCAGCATGAAGCATTAATGGAAGGCTGTAAGGAGCTTATTAATGACTATGACTGTGAACATTCCTGATAGCTCTACTTTTTCTTTTATTTCTCTTATCCTACTGTATCAACAAGGACGTTGACTTTTATTGTACCCCCAACTGTTGCGATTCCATCCTTTAAGGACTTGTAAGTTGTTAGGCCCAGCCCACGAAAACCGGCCCAACCCGGCCTAACCCGCCAAGAAATGGGCTGGGTTGACCAATATAATAAGTTAATAACCCGGTATGGGCCGGGTTTCTTCCCTGGGTAGCCCACAGGTCAACAGGTTAGCCTATAGGTTACCAAGACAAAAAATACTGTAAATATATTATTTATCTATAATAATATAAATAAATTACTGTATTATAAGACTATATTATATAAAGAATATAAATTATTACTATAGTAGAAAAGAATCTACAGTTATAGGCTCCTGCAGGTGGTTTATATATATATATCTTGACCTATGGGTGGTTTATATATCATCTTAACCCGGCCCAAACCCAACGGGCTGGGTTGAACAACCTCAAAAACCCGGCCCAACCCGCGGGCCTAACAAGTCTAATATAGACCTTAGGCCTGCAACATATGATAATGTTGGTTTTTAGATAGATAAGATAGAGATAAGGCTTAAATCAAAGATAAGATTAGATTATAAGATATAATTAGTAAGATAAAGAGAGCAGAGTAAGAAAGGAAAAATATTGATAGATAAATCAATATAAAGAATAGAATGAGTGAATATGGTGAGATTCTCTGCTCTGTCTTTAGAAAAGCATGATTTCTTAGGCATATTTATATCTGCTTCTGAGGATGCTTTCAGTAATATCCCTAGATTAGAATTATGCCGTTTTCAGGTCTGATAATCTGATCATTCCGAATGCATCATTTGCATTCATCTTATCAGATTCAGTATACTGCATTCAGCTTACTGCACCCAGAATCCATTGATTCTGATAGATAAAAATAGCATCTCAAGGATAAGATAGAAATATATAGAAATGCATAGATTATATATAAAATGATCAAGATTGCATGATATATCATCACATGATGCTGGATCACGTGATCTCCAGTTCAACACTTATCTTTCTATAGATACTAAAAAATCTAGAAAACTATTTAGGACTTACTGGATACTTCTACCATTATATTGAGCAGTATTTTATTAATATTCTTGAGTAATTAATAAAGGAAACATTAAAATTATTAAAAATATCTACTATTCAGAATAGAAGACCTGTTAACTAGATAAAGATATATAGACTAGAAGAGAGAGAAAGATTAAAGACAGATAGTAGATATTATTTAGATAAAAGACTAATTCTTAATCTCCTACTACTACTAATAATTTATTAATTTATAGCTGAAGACTCTGTATATAAAGCGTTCAGATTTCCTGTTGAAAACCAAACTGTTGATGGCCTGATGTTCCTCATTGGTGGCTGATTGTCCATGCACCTGGGTCAGGGTATCCTGTACGGCCATCAGGCCGAATCACTATTCAATCTGTGACACATACCATCGGAACCATCATTGTTCATATCCACAGAATCATATCAGATTCATTGTTCATATCCACAGAATCATATCAGATTCATTGTTCAGGTTTAGTTCTCGCTACGCAAGTACAGCTAACTACTCACAGAGCTCTCGCCCGAATACCCAGGCGTAACAAATAGAACTAAATATACTGAATATTTAGTTTACTGACTTAGTTATAGATCTGAGAACAATATCTAGGTGTGGTATAAGATTTTAATAAAAGATTATAAAGATCTTATTAGACAGTATAACAGCAAAAATTGCTGATAGTTCTGCTTTTTCTGTTATTTACTGTACTAACAAGGATATTGACTTTTATTGTATCCCCAACTGTGTCTCCATTCGCTATTGCTCTTGTTCCTTCTGCCTACCTCGCTGTACCGCCCCCTTCACCGCTTTGTATGTAGAACTTAGCAACATCCTGTTCCTGGGACTAGAAGAAATCAATCTCTCAACACCATAATCAGAAGCACCCAATAATCAGTAACTGATTATCTTAGTATCTATATATCTAGATTAGAGACCCTAACTGTTAGAACGGGATAATCCCAGGGATTTTAGAATAGGAAATAGGAAATCCTGTTCTATTCTAAAATCCCAAAATAATGCTAAGATAAATGTAGGAATCCTGTTTTTAAGAATAAATTAGATAGGAATCCCATCCCATCCCAATGGTCAGTCTAGATAGATATATAATATATTAGTATATCTGCTTTTATCTTTAATATATGCTAAAGAGAAAAAAAAGAATATAAGTATTCTTTTATAATTTACAAAATATTAATCATGTCAGGGTGCCTACGATATCGCTTTTCAATAATAATCATTAAATCACTCAGTATGCATGTAATATTGCAACATGGGTGCTACCGGAGGGCGAAGGCCAAACAGAACGGGAACCGTTAGAAACACAGGTAAGTATCCTTACACTAGATATGAATATCATGCCCGACACCACAGTAATCTAGAAGATGTATACTTGTCGATATATTTCTACAATAGGGAAGCAAAAACATGATGTCGTATGTTGTCGTATGATGCCCTACTTTAGTGAATATCACCCATTATATCTTCTTCAATGTCAATACCACTGGATGCCTCATCACCTGCACTAGCGACGCCTTTCCCAGGACCGTCAGACCATCTTAGACTCTTCTGCAGGAACAGAAGATTCTCATTACCCAGTTCCAACCCATGGTTGGCTCGATAACTGCTTTGCGCGACGATACCTAATAACCGACCCTGCTGCAATATCTGCTCCCTCGCAGAATACTCCTGGAGGAAGCGGGACTTCGCTGCACTGGAAAAGCGAAGCATTGTATCGTCATACTCATATGAATGTAACATGACAGCATCCAGAGCCCTAGACATTACAAGTGACGCCACTAAAGACTCAACTTCGTCAAGTGGTGCTGGGGGATCGGATGCCTGTTGTGCTACATCTGAGATTGTGAGGGCAGAGAAAGTCCTCCCTAGTTTAAGGGTCCTGCGCTTGCTAAAAGTACTAATTACCTGATAAACAAGCCCAGTGTTCTTGTCCTGAGCATTTATTAGCACATCAAATGACCCATACATAGTACAGAAGTTCTGATGCACAACTCACCATATGCCAAATAGACCGTGCGGCATGAACTTCGGATTTCATCCTTTGGAAATCACCTTTCTCGAATGCATCGGCTAGTGAGATGTATGGCTTTGCTAATGACTGACAGGCCCTTATGACATGCGAAGAAATGATAGTAGGGTGCGAGACCAACTGTTGAAGAACAACCCCGGTCAGCTAATATTCTGCATATTGTTATCCTCGCCTGAAGGTTACCTTTCCGTATCTCAAGAGGCTGGCTAGCACCCATTTTTTGTATCCTTCCACCATGATCTTGCTGATGGCGTTGGTGACAGGACAAGAGATAACAATGCTCAAATAGTGTAGTGCCTCATCCCACCTTTTCAGCGCCATGTATACCATTGCACTATAAAGGAAAAACTGAAGGTGGTCTCTGTATGTCAATTTCTTAGAAAAACCAGAAGCATCAGTTATGAACATCAGACTGGACTCGTGGTCACCACAGAGAATTGGCTGATGGTATTTCTGATAAGCCTGCCCGGTAACAGCAGGGAAATGGCATATCTGTTTCTCCAAGATTGGCAGAGCCAGGCTGTAGGACCTAGACATCAAAGTGAGTTTGACAAATGAGATGTGAACTGATGTGAGAACCTCAGACGATGGGTCGAGCCGTAGTAGGGTGTCCCTGATGACTGGAACCGCTAGGAGTGGCTTTTGCGAGGTCGCTGGTTAGCATCATACAGAACATCAGAGAGCATACTCCTCCCCACCTTGGAGATTTCCCGAGTAGCCTGAATCACAAGTTCAACTAGTTGGCGCCATTCATGACCAGCATATCGAATTTGAAAAGGATCGAAACCCCTCAAGAACCGAACAGCCTTGAGCCATAGTTCCCCACCGGGATAGAACTGTTCCGGTAGACGGCTCTCATTGTTGCCTTGAATGAACCGAATTCTCAAAAGAAAGACGTATACGTAAGATAAAGAATGTAAATAAGGATCGAGGTTCTGTGAGTACACAACCACGATTGTAAGCAAGCGATCTCCCCGCACCGACTGGAAGGATAACTGTATCTGATAAACCCCCCCCCCCCCTTTGTGAGAAAGACTCAGCTTACATCTAGTATAGAATCGCTAAAAGACGACAGCTCGGAAGCCCTAATAGGCTGTTGAAGGTACGTGACGAGGTCACGTATTTGTTTGTCATAGTCTTCGTCAGAGATAAATGAATTATGGTGGCTGCGTGCTGACACAGCGGTGAGTCGTGGAAGATAATCTGCCATTTTTTTAAAGCATAATTTTAGCTTCTAGCTTTGACCTGACATTAGAAGAAAAGTGCAACTTCAATGCTTAGAAGCTTTTGCAACCTGACAGATAAATGAAAACAGGTGATTAGGCGCTGAGCTCTCCAAGGTTGGACTATGACGCTACCGGCATCATAACAAAAGATGATGAGTTGAGTATATATACCATACCCACACCGCCTACCCAATATATGGCTCCCCCCCCTCTTTTTGAGAACGTAAGGGTATAAAGTAATTGTTGTTCCCCACCACGAGTGAGTCAGCCTAGCGCCTGGCCGATAAGTTCCCCGTTCGAGAAATCTGACCGCGGCAGTGCAGTTGCAATCATTACTGAAGTGTGGCCGTGGTAAGCCTCTCGCTCTCAACTGTGGCACAAAGCGTATTACAGTCCGCATAAATGTCTCTTACTGAGTCTTCTGCAAATGATATCGCCAGGACTGCGTCTTTGGCATCTCGTGGCTTAGCAACATTATCTGAAGCTGACCGCAATGGTGCATTAGCAACACTTCATGATGCAATGCTGAGGAATAAAAGTTTTATACTAGAGGCGAATGCTAGGGATGTTGAGATAGCGAGCCAAGCCGTTGAAAAGGGAAATCTGAGCCATAGTGTTTTGAAAAGACTCGACTTGTCGCGCCCAGGAAAATACGATGACATGCTTCAGGGCATCCTCAGTGTCCGAGATTTACAAGACCCGAGTATGTATATCGAATATTGTAGTAACTGCTTCACTGACCGCATTGAAGTTGGACAGGTGACTCTGAGGACACTGCTGGATGATGATCTAGTGCTCGAAAGAGTGAGCTGTCCTATAGGTGTCTTATTGATAATCTTCGAGGCGCGCCCTGAAGTCATTGCGAATATAGCAGCCTTGTCTATAAAGTCGGGAAACGCCGCAATTCTCAAAGGTACGTGTTCAAGAAAAACTCGTAGCTCGTCTTTCATTTTACTAAAGAATAATAATAGGCGGAAAGGAATCTACGGAGACTTTTGTTGCTATCTCACAGGTTATTTCGAACGCCATTGTGGGTACCGGAGTTCCCAGATCATCAGTGCAGCTTGTGAAAACAAGGGATGTGGTTTCTTCCTTGCTAGCCCAGGATTCATTGATTGACCTTGTGATACCTCGCGGGTCAAATGATCTTGTCCGATTCGTGAAGGACAACACAAAAATCCCCGTTCTCGGGCATGCTGACGGCCTTTGTTCTGCCTACATTCATTCCGATGCAGACCCGCTGATTGCGGCTAAAGTAATTGTGGACTCCAAGACTGATTATCCAGCTGCCTGTAATTCTCTAGAGACTCTACTCGTTCACGAAGACGCTCTTGAGACTGTTTTCCCCCATGTTGCCGAAGCCCTATTCTCTAAAGGAGTGTGCCTTCGCTGTGACATACCAGCCAAGGCTGCGTTAACGAAGATCTTACCTACAGCACCGTCTCACCTACTCCAGAATGCTGTTGACTCTGATTATCACACCGAGTTCTTGGATCTCATTCTGGCAGTCAAAACCATAACCTCAACGCACTCCGGAAGTTCGTTGGTGGATAATGCGGTCGCCCACGTCAATTCGCACTCTTCTAAACATACTGACATCATTTTGACAAGCTCAAAGGAGATTGCAGACATTTTTATGAAAGGCGTTGATAGTGCTGGTGTCTTCTGGAACGCATCGACAAGATTTGCAGATGGGATGAGATACGGGTTCGGTACAGAGGTTGGCATCAGCACGAACAAAATTCATACAAGGGGTCCTGTTGGATTAGATGGCTTAACCATCTACAAGTATCTGGTTCGGGGGAATGGTCACCGAGCATGCGATTATTCGGAAGGGGGGAAAAGATGGAAACATGAAAGCCTACCCCTCTAGTTGATCTCATTCATAGTTTGATATCATTTATTCATGTAAACTTCAATTTTCATTCAGCTCCAAATCCTCTACCTGGCATTTCATTTAGATCCGTAAGAGTCGCTGTGGTATCAGCTAAAAAGCTTTGGAAGCTAGCTGTACGTTCAAAAGTCAAGCACAAGATCCTGCGCACGCATTTCCATGGCTATGACAGTCCCGACCCTGATACAAGATGTTCTCGTGATCAACCCCTTTAGACCTTGAAGCCACGAGACCTTCTCCTTCCGCGAGCCCTCTCAAACTTGCGACCCTTGCTTCGCACGTAGGGTTTCTAATGGTTGTTAGTTACAAATTACAACACCGTCCCCTGTTTTTCGCGAGGAATCTTGGGGAGATAGGGTAGATAAAAGCAAACTTGCCTTGTGGCTATGAGGACCAAAGCCAAAGTGCTTGACGGCCTCACGAGCATTCTTGGGTCCACGGAGGAGGAGGGTGTTCGCTCCGGTAGGAGCACGGAGGGCGAGCTGATCCAAAGTCAATGTCTCACCTCCCGCCTTCTCAATCCTGGCTCTGGCAGTAGCGGTGAAGCGCAAGGCAGCCACGGACAGCTTCGGGACGTTAAGCAAGCGGTTGTCATCTGTAACGGAGCCAATCACGACAATGGTCTTGCCCTTGTGCGCATCAGTCACGTTGGACGCGATACGCGACAGAGAAACAGGTGGGCGGTTAATCCTCGACATGAAAAGACGACGCAGCACGACCTTGTTGAAGTTGGAATCCGTGCGACCTATTCAACACCGCTGATCAGTTTTCCTTCGTTTTATACCATGAGGGCAGTTTCGGCCATACGGGCGAGGAAGCGATAGAGCTTCACCAGAACCTGGAGATAGACATTCTCGCTCTTCGGCGCCTTGCGATGGCTGCTCCGGACATGGTGGCGATCCAAGTCGATACCTGCGCTCTAGCGTTAGCCTCATACTTTGCAAGATGTACTGAGTGATGCTTTCGAAGCGGCTTCGATAACATAACTGCGCCGTAGCGGTGTATGGTGATAGATGATTATAAACGTACCCATGGCTGCTAAGACTGATGGGACACCTGGGAGTTGGCTAGCTCTCGCACCCGTATGCAAAGTGAAACTTGTGAGGTTTTTGATCTACGATTTTCAGATGGACGGTGTGCGTGGGTTGAGCCCTAACCTAGAGCAAATCGGGAAGTACTGGGGGAATTGTGGGCACCTGAAAACTAAGGCATTTACTAACTTTTGCACCTGCTCCACAGAGCCCGCCAATGCATGAATTGAACTCACTGGTTTTACTAGGAACCAGTAAGATCGAAGTATGATTAAGGTTTGAAAAGACGAAGAATTTGTAAGGTAAAGAAAGGACAAATTTAGAATTAGTCTACAAGCTACATACCTTTGGGATTCTCATGTTCTAAATATTGTGCTCTAGAGCATTTTTTGTTCTTCTCATTCCACTCTCACTCTTGCTTGAATCATATCTTCATGCCTTTTTTACACATCGACATGATAAATACACTTGTAGCCATATAGCGCCTTTTATATTACTCTAAGATCGCAGGATTCCATGCATCTTGTATAATCTACCCAAGAACAGCCATGTCACCATATGGTTCTCATGTGTAGAATATCTAGCATTGAACGCATCAATGCACTGGCGGCAACTTTCCAAACCTTGAAACCTCCGAAGGAAGGTTCTGCTAGGTGCAACCTAGGGATTAGCGGGTATCCCTTTCGAATTCAAGATAATCACTTGTCATTCAGTTGAACAAGGAAATCTCTTGTTAGCTCGAAGCTAAGCCAACTACTGGCCATGCTTGGCGCCACTTTCAGAAGATTGGGAACGATCCCTTTAAAAAGGCCACGTATTCCCTCTTCCGCCACAATTACTCTGACGGCGTCGCCGATGGATGTGTATTGATAGCCCATTCCAGACATTGTATTGATCTGAAAACGCCGCCGCAGGACGTCACTAATAACTGGTTAGTGCACGAAGAGTGGGGAAGGGGGATATGAGGGTAGTGCATGCAGATTATCTTACAATGGATATGTACATGTTTGAGCCACTGCTCCTGATACAGCACCCGCTAGTAGTTTGCGCAGGGAACTGGGGGTCTTGTCACCATCGGGCGTCAAGTACTTGCGAACCGATTCGTATGTCATAAAATTCAGACCAACCTGACTAGACTCAGTATGTTTTGAGTTCTGGAAAGTTTCTTTTTTCCTCTTTCAAACTTACGTATGGGGCTACGCCAGCAACAGTCGGGATGATCCCGCGGTAGAGGGCAAGAATACCACCCTCGGTCCTATATATTGAGACCATAGTGCCAAACATGCCTGGTAGCCTTCCGCTAGTATCTCGCTGACCGAGGGCTGCGAATGACGCTGACTGAATAGAAAGTCGTGTCCGAACGATGTCAAGTGGATACGTGATACTGACAGAGGTAATTCCAGCAGCCGCTCCGCAAAGGAGACGACGTACTGGTGACAACTCGGAATTTGGACTTGGTTCTGCGAACTATATTGGATGGTAAGCGGGCAGGCTATAATGGTAAGGGAAAGATAGGCATTATAAGGGTGAGCAGTGGGAGGAGATGGGAACGCCCGTTGATGAATACGAGGCAGTTGTGCCTTGGTGAACGCTAAACTGAGACTTACCTTTTTGTAAAAATTGTAACTGCCAAACTGAACGGCGGAGTAAGGAACTATGCGGATGCAATTGGTCCCATTGCCCCGCATGAACCCTCTCCATCCTTCCTCTTTGCCGATCTTCACAAGAGCCTTCCATATAGATAATCTGTACTCTTCCCTGCCAACACTCTGTATTTGAAGCAAGATTTTTAGTCGTTCAAGTGGCGACACAATAGTCCTAGATACTGCACCTGCGACGCCCCCAGCAATGAAAGCTGCCACCACAGGTTCCGCAATTCTGCCCTTAATTCCGCTGAGTTTGCTGTTTCCTGAAGATGCTTCCTAGAAGGATGTTAAGTCATGACATGTAGAGTGGGAGAAAAAAGGAAGGACCTCATCCTACCTGGATCGTACTAGAAGATGGCGGCATCTGGGCTAATGTGGGTAAGGTACTGTCCCTCGACGTCTTTGTTTCACCGTGACGAACCGGTTCCTGGCGATCCAGGCTCATGTTGATGTAAACAATTTATAAGAAACCCCAGAAGTACCCAGAATTGCTTTTAATGGGGCTAAGATGTGACGAGTCACTTTGTTGATTGGAGACGTCCTAACAGTGGTTTCGTATACTGGCGTTGGAGCTTCAATACACCCAGCGGAGGACAAACGACCGAACCTATGTTGTGGTATCGCCACAGCGAATTAAGAAGTTCGTTGGAAGATTCTCTGTCTGACGTTGTAATGGCCATAAAAAGACATAAGTCGACTTTAAAAATCACAGCGGCATGAGCGGAGAAAATTCGAATCGAGGAAAAGAAGGTAACCCGCGAACAGCGCAGTGAGGAGGAAGCGACAATGATGCAGCCGATCGTTGAGTGACTAAATTACCATCTAAAATAAAAGGTTAAATACTTCATACCACCGATAGAAATTCATAAGACGAGATGATTGTTGAATTTAATAAGTGGACACTTCAAATTCCAGAAGAAAATAAATCGAGCCGCGCTGACCCAAATGAGGCATCATTGCTGCGGCTTGTCGAACATTAAATCGTAGACAGCATTGAGTCCTGGCCATCAGTTTGGTATTAGGGATGGACAGAGCCACATGCATTGGTAATCTTACTCATACATCCTGTAAAACATATTTGACTGTATGTGATGAAGGTAATCTCTTTACCTTGCAACAGCAATACCTGGATTATATTAGTGTATATATATATATGTAAATAGCATTTTTGCTATGATTTCACGAACTGTTATACAGAGCAGTGACTTCCAGAAGTTATATAGAGCTGGATTCTATGTGTTGCTATGTATACATGTCTTTTATATTCCCAGGACAAACAGCTTACAGTACTTGTATTGGTCCGGTACCTAGTGGAAATACTACAATACTACAGAGTTCTTTGCAAGTATCAGGTATGTACATAATAGGTACGGTACTTAGTACCGTATGCATATAGTATGCGGAGTATACATCGTATAGGTAGTAGACATGTACAGTACTTACAAACGAAGGATGTAAGTGTTGTAAGTTTTTGGATGTGGATACTCCATACTCCGTATCATAAATTACTAATGATTTAGGGGTGTGGATGAGTGAGTTCGCTTGTGGCACGTGCGCTTTCCTGTAGTCTCTTCTTCCGAACATGTCTCTTGTTCCTTTACCGTCTTGTTCTTAATTTCCATCCAAAACTTCGTCATCTCCCCCCTCTCCCCCCGACCCGTCGTTGTGTCAACACTCCTACACCAAAATCGGTACTCTTGCTGTCTACAAATAGTTGCACAGCTTTGCACATAATGTCTCGCCCTGGCACCACGCTCTATGTCACCGGCTTCGGGCACGGAACTCGAGCTCGCGACCTTGCCTACGAATTCGAACGGTATGTGCCGCTAGTCGATTGCTACACGCTACCATGACTCGCCGACTCGTTTCCATCTCGCAATCTACACCCCGGTTGACTCGCGATGCCGACGTTGGAGCCAAATCTCCCTTGTTCTGAGATTTGCTTGTCACATTAGTCTTGAATAGATACAATTCTTTCTTCCCCTCTTTGAAGACTCCCTATGTCCCCGGCGCTTTTGCTACCCCTGTTTATTCACACTTATATTTGGCCACTCAGCAATATTACCTTGATATCCTTTTTCACCCCAGTAACTCTAGTTCTAACTTTGCCTTAGTTACGGACGTCTTGTCCGGTGTGATATTCCAGCACCGCGTACTCCTTCCAGCAGACTGTGCGTTGCAACATACCCTCGTTTCCATGTCACTGTTCTCTAATGATTCTAAGGTTTGCTTTTGTGGAGTATGAGAGCCGTCGCGATGCCGATGATGCGTATCATGAAATGCATAATAAACGAATCGGGCGTGATGATTTATTGAAGATCGAAGTGAGTGGCACGGTATCAATCATATACCGATTTTCTCTAACACACCCAAAGTGGGCTCGTACTCCCCCGTCTGCTTCTTGGCGGTTTGACTCTGGCCGGGACCGTCGACGTGATCGCACACCCCCGCGTCGTGGCCGTTCACCCTCGCCTCGCCGTGGCCGCGGTGATTATTCCCCTCGTAGGGACGATAGGTATGAACGGGATTATGACCGACATGACCGTGACTATGATCGCCGTGACCGTGACTATGATCGCCGTGACCGCGACTATGATCGCCGTGACCGCGACCGTGAACGCTCTCGTGACCGTTCTCGCAGCCCAGATGAAAGGGATCGCGATATCAAGGATGATAGGGAACGTCGTGATGATGAACGTGAACGCCGTGATGATGAGCGTGAGAATGGTCCCAATGGTGAAGACAGAAAAGGTAAAATCTTCTGACCCCCCACCACTTTATCTCGCTTGCATTTTCTTGTTGCTTACCAACTCTTTTTGTTTTTTTTGTAGATCCTTTAACTTCTGCTCACGATGAACTTGATACTGCTGAGTAGGTTACATGTAATCCAAGCTCATGATGCCTACACCCTATCGGTCGACATGGTTTCAGCGAAGAGATTTCGAAGAAAAGCAGAAAAAAAGAACAAAAAGGGAGAAGGGGAGAGAGATCCATTGTTGTCTCAATCTCTAAAACTACGTTTATGGGTTGGCCGTTATGCACGTAATGGCTGATGGTCCATATCATGGGACTGTACGGTATTTGATCAGATTCTCTGTCTCCCTTTTGCTAAACCCACCCCCATTTCCCGGTCCCCTACCCTATATTTAATTCCCTTAATCCGCTTTTCTTTTCCCATTTTTTTTTTTTTTTCCTTTTTGCAGTTTTTCATCCTTTTCTTATCAGGGCAAACCGGAAGAGACGAACAGAGAGAAGGCGAAAACCACGAAACAAAATTAAGAGAGGACTAAGGCCTTTACTGTGGTGATGGATCTTATTGGATCTTGGTTTGATGAACACACGTTGAAATCTTTCGTCAGTGGCTCGAATTTTCGCCGAACGTCCGTCGAGCGATCGTTTCTTCTTCCCGCCCACGCCAGTGTATATCGTCCTTGTGCCCGTCACGATCCCCAGCGGTCCGTCGCGCGTCTAAATCGCAGTTTAATATGAAGACGATTATCATTCCTTTTCCCCGTCCTGTACGACCGGTCCTTGCGAGCTTCCATGTCGTCTCGAAAGCCGATTGTAATTTAATATGCGTGTAGTCGTAGTTCCTGCTTATTGTAAGCAAGCATGAGTGGAAGATAAATGATAAACTATCTGTCGTATATTCCACCCAGGTTTCATGCATGCAATGACTTCGCTGACTATGCATAAAATAGCTGGGTTGTTTGATGCAACTAAAGTAATACGAGCATGCATCACGAACTCTCGAAACAAACCATGGAAAAACTAAATAATGTATGGCTTCACTCGTCCTTGAGAAGGGTTGCAATGGGAATTCATGTCCTAGAATGAGATGAATAGATAATAAACAAAATATTGGGAGTCCAACCATGAAACTAATGCGCGAGTAGTAAAGGACTTGTCATGGCTATATCATGATCTTATCCTTACAGCTTATGAACATGTCTGAAAAGCAACCGCAGATGAAAATACACTGCTTACATGGTTAAGGGAAAAAAGAAAAAATTCGCAAAAGGAAGAGATGGACGATAGAATGAGCAAAATCTGCCACTCTCTACCAGACACACTGGTTAACTCTAGCAAAGGGTCTTGCTCATTGCATCTTCTCATATGTAGCCATAAGGGAACCTTATCCACAAGAATCAGTTTTCGAAAATTGCTCAATGCCCGGAGAAGAAAAACTTACCAATGAATGTAGTCACTAAACGAGAGCGGACCTGGCAGATATCTTCAGGAACCAACCAGATAGTTGCGCCTAGCTTTCTCGCTATGCTGATGCTCAACTTGGCGTTTGAATATGCTCCTTCGTCGCTGCGGCCCGAGGTTACAAGCTCATAGTCCACGTAGCTACTCTTCATGCCGTTGAGTACGTCAAGGAGGAAGACTCCCGAGCCGATAGACTGATCCTTGAAGCTGCGTATCGATGAAGTCCTGCCACCTTTGCGGGACATATCATTTGCCCATCGGATCATTTCTGAGTCTGTAATCTCACGTTTACCCATCCGTTGCGCCAAGCTTGAGAGTGTATTTGTGATATCTCTTCGCATCAGTTGCCATACCAGCCCTAATGTAAGAGTGCGCTGCCCATCAGTGATATCAGCTCCCTGAACACCAACAAGAGAGAAGCCATTATTTTTTCCAAGCTCAGTTGCATAGTTTGTGTTCTCAACCGCCTTAAAGCGCATCATCTCCCCACCAGATGCTGGCGGCCTGTTGACATGCCTCCAATGAACGCTTCCAGGAATTACTTTGTCATAAGCTTGCAAGAGAACCGTACCATCCCGAAGATCGTCAAAGAGAGAGTTAACAGCGGGTTGGACATCCAGAGAGTTTAACCAGAGAGTGAAAACTCTTGCTTCACGTTCTCCTTCTGCATCGAAGTCTTCAACTTCAAGCTTTTCTTCTTCAGTTATAGGGTCAAGACCAGGTATTGTGTTGAACAGGTTGGCTACAAAAGCGAGGTTGAGCTTCGGGTTTCCAGCAACAAGTGAGCTTGGAGTTAAAAACTTTCGACAGCCCAGCTTGTCCGCATTGGCTAGGACCTGTTCGGCGCGCTCAAGCACATCCTGTGTCTGCAAGGGACCTCGGGAACAAACATCAGGTGCCAGTTGGCTGAGAAGGACTGTATAATTTTCGCCGTCTTTGACATCGGTAGAGAAGTTGGTCACCCTGGAGGTAGCGATCAGCCAATGTCCATTGTCCTTCCCCTTTGGCATCTTTCCCGGAAAATCTTGGCGTGGAATCTAAATTAACATAGAGGGGCTCCTTACTTTCTGTTCCATTTTGCGTTTTTCAAATGGTAGTTGAACCAGCGCAACAATATCTGCTCGGGAGGCAGACGTAGGAATTGCTCTAAGGTTTCATCTTCTTCTAGGAGTCTGTAAAGCTCGGGGTGGAGTTTGATATCAATCTTGCCTAGAAGACCTCGACGGATGATCTGCCAGATAAGGCCTAGAATGAGATGTTCGCGCACTTCTATGATATCACCACTTCCAATGTTCACAACCGAGCAACCGATACCCTTGGCCGAGTTGATAACTATGTTATTGTTCTCAGTCATGTGGAAAGCGTTCAAATCCTTGATCTTCTTCCCGGGCTTATTCAAAACACGCTCATCAATCGTATCCGGCACGCTATCATTGATCAGTTTCGCTAGTACTAGACCGTCTTTGCACTTATCGAACATCTCGAAAGTGTCGGTAGCAAACGGCAGGAAGTGACCAACATCCGGGTCCCCGGCAAGAACGGCATTGATATGTCTCGTAAACTCGGTCCGTTCGTCCTCATTGATTGTATGAGTTACATTTGCCGACGAACCTTGGACGTGAATTCTTCCTCCTATGCTGCCCTTGGAGACATGTCGAGATGAAACAGCGCCATTCCCCGGTACTACCGCGACGGGAGCTGCCGTACCAGTAGATCCGCTTTGCCCGGTGGTAGAGCGGAGCTTAGAGATAAGCTGTTGATTTTTGCTTTAGTTTCTTTATATTAGAATCAATGGCACACGATGGAACACTAACATCCACGTAGTCTTCAAGTTCCACACGGCGGGAGCTATCCAGTTCAACCTCCTTCAGCGCCTGCCGTACGACATCATATGGTTGGCGCTCCGATTGCTGAGTGGCTTTGATCACGGTCGCTTCATCCAATGATCCTTTGTCATCAACGTCTAACTTTCTAAAGGCATCCTGAAGGGAAAAGATCTCGCCCTGGTCGAACTGTGGAAACTTCCTACATGATAATGAGAGTAAGGCTGGTGCCCAAGAAGCCACATGGAAAACCGGATGGAACTCTTGCACCAGAAAGAGTCCAGGAAAGAAGGGAGAAAGAAAGAAGAGGCAAAATACAGAAGACAAACAACGAACCTTTGAAGTTTGAGCACATTCATTCTTTGTTTCCTTTCTCGTCGACTAAGAATCGGGCTGTAGAATATATATGCTGCAGAAAGCACACAAGTTGGGAGGAACGCGAAGGCCACAAATGACAAAATGTTAATACCCAGGGAAACCCTAAGGGATTATTGTTGATTGAAAGATGACAGTAAAACAAGTCGAAGTATTAGGTAGCCTGGAGACTTTGAGAATTGGTTTTGCGTTTCCCCTGGAAGGATGAAGTGGGATTTGGGAAGTGGAGTGGGGTTGGCGCTAGAGGAATGGTAATGACGCGGGGGATCAATCCAGCTGAGGCAACAACCAACTACATAGTACTTAGGAATCAAAAGTTACCTCCTGAACTGGATTTGCAAAAAGGAAAAATTCCAAAATATTCACCTTTACTTGCCATTCAATCGCAGGCTATGGACGCACGTACATGCATACATACATACATCTATCTATCTATTGTGTGGAGGAACGTGTGTGGAATATTCGGAATCAATAAATCCTTAAGACCTGAAAGATGACGCATGATGATGTCGAATCCCCAAGCCATACATTAAATTCATTCTCTAACTGGACCAATTTACTCAGGCACTAGTATTTACTACGTACTCTGCGTACACGTATTTGTAGCGCACGCCTCCCCTCCCTCCCGAGCCATCCTCTCTCTTTTTAGTTAATTTCTTTTCTTTTTCCTTTTTTCCTTTTTCCTTTTTTTTTTTTTTTT